CGCTATTTCGGTCTGCTATTAAAACCCATTTTTCTTGTAGTGACTACAAACAAAAATATCTCCAATCGATTGAAACCTAAATCGTTATGAAACCCTAACTACAAACGAAAGAATCTCCAATCGATTGAAACCTAAATCGTTATGAAACCCTAACTACAAACGAAAGAATCCCCAAATCGATTCAACCCAAATCGTTTCCGAACCCAAATCGTTTTTGAACTTCAAATGGAAAGAACCATAAATCGATCGAAATCCCAAATTCGAACCCTAAATTACGAGGAAAACAACCTGAAACCTAATCTAAATCGGAGAATCAACAAAAGAACCCTTCGATTTACCTTGTCAATCCCAGGAGAGCAAAATTATCTTCACGCCGACTCAAACTTTTTTCGTGGGGTTGAGTCGAAAATGAATTGATTTTCCCCAATGTCGCGAAACCTCTACTCTCTCCACTCTTCCACGTCAGCAAGGACTGAGGCTTTTTAGTCCTTAACTATGGACTCATCTTTAACTTATTTAGATGGTATATTAATATAATATTCGATTAAGCTAAGGATTATAGTTTAAGGATTCCACTAAAACCGCGGTTGGATGGTCTTATAAGTCTTAACGTAATCTTGTTTTGGTCAATTTCATATTATGAAAATTAATAAAATAATGTTAAACAAAACTTTTAACTTCATGTTCCAAAAAAGAAATAAAAACTTTAACTTCTATAAATGATGTCATCTACTTGTATGTCAGATTACGTTAGCAACAAAGAAAAAAAAATCTTGTGGGAGATGCTTTCTATTCGTCCAAAAGATAAAAGACTATCTCTGGTTCGTTTGCCTCTCTTTTCTTAATTAGTTATTCTGTCTTTTTGTGATTCTTTAATTTATGGCTTATTTGCCAAAAAACAAAAAGAAAATACAATTAGTTTTTTAGTGAAAAGTTAGAGAGAGATAGGAAGAGAAATTAAGAGAGGGATTATGTTTTTGGTTAGATAGTGTATTTGTGTTTTTGGCTATAGAGATAAATTTCCTATTTATATACTTCATCTGTTCCTAAATAATCCATGTTCTAGACTTTTCACAATTATTAAGAAAACTCATTTAATTTTGATTATAAATGCATTGTTTTTTTGTGAATAACAATTTTTCATAACTTTTAACCAATATAAACTCAATAAACACCATTAATTTTTTGAACTTACAATTTTTCATTAAATCATTCATTGAAAAGATAAAAAAATACATCTTTTTGAAACAATTTTTTTTCTATAATATACATCTTTTAGGAACGGAGAGAGTATTCAATAACACGTTATCCAGTAATTCACTCAAAAACAAAGAAAATACTTTGGTACTAATGTGGAAGAATCTTTGGTCCTTTGTTATCGACTACAAATTTTACAAGTCAATATTGGATTCTTAACTTTCAATGGAGTCTCTTTTTAATTTTTTTGTTGAGAAAATAGACGCTTTGTTTTACTCAAGCTGCAGTCTTTGTTTATATGTTTTGCTTATTGAGTCCGTCAACTTATAACACGAGTGCACACGAAAACGACATCTTCATGCTATCTCTTTTCTAATCAAGTTTAGTGTGTTTTTCTACAAAGCGTTTTTGTGTGTTAGCTGCTGAAATATCAAGGTATATAAGTATGTCGTCAACCAATGTTCTTTAAACGTTGTAAAATTAAGACGTACCATTCGAAATATAAAACATTTTTAAGCTCACATCTTTCTTATAAAAACTAAAACCAAGAGATAAATATCAACAAACGTAAATTTTTTAGTTTACATAAATCTTAAACATTAAAAAATGCCTATGGAAATATCGATTATTATGAATGAACATAATTTTGTGTGAATTCAAATATTTCTTGATAAAACTATTTATTTAATGCTGCATCAAATTTACGCAAAAAAACTACTTATTTAATGCTATTTTTTTCTGAAAAAAAAATAGCTTGCAAACCTTGTTTTAGCCGAACATTTTATTAGGTGGTTAACATGGACACGCCTGAGTAGTTTAGACCCTGCAATTGTTTACTTGGTTCTTCAAAACTATAAAAGTTTAAAATGTTATGGGGAGGAATCGAATTATACACCTTATTTAGTTATAATAACAAGCACATTACCAACATAACTATTTACTTATTTATGCTTAGAATTACCCCTACTTGTAATATAATTTTTTGAAGTCCCAATTTTATGTTTGATTGACTTATACTCTCAGATACGGCCTGGTGATTAACTTTATGGCGCTAAACAAAACACATGTCTTCAGCTATAAGTAAGCAATGGAACCTTATTCCGCCACAATCTACCAACTTTAGTATTATATCTTTCCACTTTCCAACAAATCCTTTTTTTTGACAAAAATCCAACAAATCTTTCTCACTTACGTTTTTCATGTTTAGCCAGTCTTTTCAAATTATGCGAATATTTAATGCATATAACTTAGAATATTTCTTCTTTTGTTTTCTCTATAGGTTTTTCTTGATGAACAATATCTAACGTATACAAAAATGTAATGAGGATATTGCTAAGTACTAGCTCGTATAATTAATGTGGATCTCTTATGGTGGATTTTTAGGGTAATATAAGATATGATTCTAAACTAAAAAAATAAAAAATGTCTTTTATACCTTTGATTTAAAAAAACGTTTTTAAATTTTTTTTTAATTAAAAGGTAAGAGACATATCTTATATTTCTTCTGTTTCATAATAAGTATCATTTTAATTTTTTTTTCTTGTTACAAAAATGTGTCACTTTACAATTTCAATGTAAACTAGATCGTGACCCACACAACCGTGCGGGTTTTATTGAATACTAAAATATTTTTAGTTATATAATAAAAATTATTAATATTATTAATATAATTTGATGTTATATATTATCTAACTTATAATAATGTTTGTGTGGCTTATAATATTATTACTATAAAATTTATAAATTTATATTTTCATAAGAAAATTTTAAAAAAACCTTATTATGTAACAGTAATAATTGTTTTATTTCTAAATTTGAAACATATGTGAAAATTAAATTAAGTTAGACATACATCATAAAGACGCAAACTTTTAATATACTTATAAAATTATTTTCCATAATTTTGTTATAAATAAAAAATGAATAACTTTTAATTATATTTTCTGATAATTAAAATTTCAATTAACTAATTTTTCAAAATATATATTCTTAAAAAATCTAAAAGATCTTACAAAGATATTGTTAGAATTTTCATAAAGATATTTTTGTATTTCCAATAAAATTAAAAATATGAAAAGATATTATATAATGATATATAGAATTTAATAAACTTTCTAAGGATAGTCCAAATTAAAAAAAAATCACACATGAAATGAGTTATGATTTATGTTTTAATATATAAGATCATACTTAATTTCAGCTGAAAATTAATTGAAAGCTATATTGAGTTTATAAATAATTTTATTATCTCAAATATTATTAGTAAAATAATATCTTACATATATTTCTGCTACTTTTTTAATCTGTGTAAAAAGTGTCAAAATGATATTTATTCAAAAATGGGGGGAATATTACGTTAAAAATCTTATTATTATTTTTTCTTATGTTGAAAATCTTTTTTTTTTATGTTGAAAATCCTATCTTAAGATCTGTATTAATCACGTTCTAAGAAATCCAATAATGGTGGTTGAGACTTGAAATTTGAGACACTGGAGACTTGAGACTTGAGACATTTACTCCCCATGGAAATTCAGGTTTCCATTCCCCAAAGTTAGTTTTTAAAGAACAAAAAGTAAAAAAAAAATATCTTCTTTGCATATGAGTAGAAATTTCTCAACGGTTGAAGATGAACTTCGTCCGGAAGTTACTGCTTAACAACAAGTCTACGTCAAGGAAGAAATAATAATAAATCCGAAACGTAGGTTGTGGATAAAGAAGATCTTTATAATCTATCTATGGCCTAGAAAAAATATGATACAGCTTTAGGAGAAATTTGTAAAAACAATTATAAAAATGTCTACTAAATACATGCGAGACCCAAACTAAAAAGCACAGAAAAAATATTAAGACGTATCATTCGATCATTTCGTGGTTCTTAACATTTAAAATTTAGTTTGTGATCCACATATGAAATGCAGTGACGCTTATGTGTAAACTCAAATTAGGTAGCCGTTATTACACGTTGGGATGAATTCGAATTCCACACGGTTCAAACTCTACAAATGGTAAATTAAATATTCTGGAGATAATTAAATATTACTATTATCAATTCCTTAATCGCTAACCAGAGAATACATATCTTATTCTTATATGTGCAGTACAAGTAGGCATGTCGATATACCAATGCGCCAACTTTGCCTTATTGAAACGGATATTAGATACTGAACCTAAACGAGGACTATACGCGGTTAAGCATCTCATGCTGCATATCCGGTAATGTGAAATGAAAATATCATAGTATTGACCGTAACGTTTAAATAAAACAGGTCAGATCCATACTAGTCACGTAACTGATCCTTTATCTGTAAAGCTCGTGGATAACACGTGTATCCCTGAAAAAACTCGAGACGGTTACTTTGGACAAGTTGCTCCGAAAGAAGACCTTGGACCAAATCGTTTATTCTTTATTATTTACTTTTGTTATTAATTAATATAGAATTTTGATGCTTATGTTTAATAGTTTTGAACTTTATCTCATTTCAGTTGTTTTAATAGATGCTTTATTAATTATGTAAAGTTAATTTAATATTTCTTTTGATTTAGATCTTTCAAAATTAATTAAGCGAGTTTTAGGCAACAATCTGGTGAAGGCAAGTTTCCTTGGTATTACTAGGAAACTTCGTGGAATGATCACAAACCGACTTGTGAAGCAGCCTTATAAAAACAATGCAGAATGCAAAACAATGTTACATCAGATTCTGCCGTCATATTCCATCCATCGCTTTCACAGATAATTCTATAGCTTCTGATTATTTTTTCTTCTTTTCGGTTTAGCATTTCCGGTTCAAACAATACCAGAGCCAATGTCAACAAACGTTTCTTCCCATGCAGAGAAGAACAATTTGGTGGGAGTCGAGTTTCTTCTCGAACTCCCCAAAACCCTAAGCAAAACAAACAAGAAGTGGCAACTTGCATTCATCAAGATCTACTGCTCAAGAACTCTCCTCAACTGCGCCAAACACCCCATTGTCAAACCAAGTTTGTTGCTTTCTCGTTCCCTTTCCTACACCGCCATTGATCTTGACCATCCTCAAGGTCATCACAAAGACTTCACGATCGACCAAGAGAACCTAAACGATCTCGTCAAGAACAAGAACCAAGAGAAACTTCACTCTCTTGGTGGCCCTAATGGTTTAGTCTCAGCTCTCAAGACAAACACACGTCAAGGGATCGACGAAGAAACCGACGAGATTCAACGCAGACGTTCAACGTTCGGTGCCAACACTTACACTCGACCACCATCGAAGAGTCTCATCCATTTCGTGGTCGAGGCCTTCAAAGACCTAACGATTCTCATCCTTCTCGCCTGCGCAACGCTCTCTCTCGGGTTCGGCATCAAAGAGCACGGCTTAAAAGAAGGATGGTACGATGGTGGAAGCATATTCGTAGCGGTTTTCCTGGTGGTAGCTGTCTCTGCGGTCAGTAACTTCAGACAGAACAGACAGTTCGACAAACTCTCCAAAGTAAGTAGTAACATAAAGATCGATGTCGTTAGAAACGGACGTCGTCAAGAGATTTCTATCTTTGACATCGTCGTTGGAGATATCATTTGTTTAAACATCGGCGATCAAGTTCCAGCGGATGGAGTGTTCGTTGAAGGACATTCATTACACGTCGACGAATCAAGCATGACTGGAGAAAGCGACCACGTCGAGGTGAACCTAAACGGGAACACATTCTTGTTCTCGGGTACTAAAATCGCTGATGGGTTTGGTAAAATGGTGGTTACGTCCGTTGGTATGAACACAGCTTGGGGACAAATGATGAGTCACATCTCACGCGACACAAACGAGCAAACTCCATTGCAATCTCGTCTCGACAAGCTTACTTCTTCTATAGGTAAAGTCGGTTTAATAGTAGCTTTCTTAGTTCTTCTTGTTCTTTTAATCCGTTACTTCACGGGAAGTACTAAAGACGAGAGTGGGAAACGTGAGTATAACGGTAAGAATACTAAAAGCGATGAGATTGTGAACGCGGTTGTTGAAATGGTTGCGGCTGCGGTTACGATTATCGTGGTTGCGATACCTGAGGGATTACCATTAGCTGTGACGTTAACATTAGCGTATTCGATGAAGAGAATGATGAAAGATCAAGCTATGGTGAGGAAGCTATCCGCTTGTGAGACAATGGGCTCTGCTACTACTATCTGTACCGATAAAACCGGTACTTTGACGCTTAACCAAATGACCGTAACCGATTCCTGGTTCGGTTTAGAATCAGGAAATGCTTCTCTATCGAGTAAAGTTGTTGAGTTGTTCCATGAAGGAGTTGCAATGAACACTACAGGGAGTGTGTTCAAGGCTAAAGAATCATCATCATCATCTGAGTATGAATTCTCCGGGAGTCCAACGGAGAAAGCGATATTAAGCTGGGCGGTTAATGAACTAAAGATGGATATGGAGGAAGTGATTAGAGAACACGAGGTTGTACACGTTGAAGCTTTTAACTCAGAGAAGAAGAGAAGTGGTGTGCTGATCAAGAAGAACGGAGAGATCACAGTTCATTGGAAAGGAGCTGCTGAGAAGATTCTAGCTATGTGTTCTACATACTACGACGGCTCTGGAGTCGTTAAAGAGATTGATGGAGACGATAAGATTCAGTTTGAGAATATCATTCAATCCATGGCAGCTAAATCCCTACGTTGCATCGCGTTTGCGTACTCAGAAGACAACGATAACGAGACAAAGAAGATTAAAGAAGAGAATCTGAGCTTACTCGGAATCGTCGGGATCAAAGATCCGTGCAGACCAGGAGTCAAGAAAGCCGTCGAGGACTGCCAATTCGCCGGAGTAAACATCAAAATGATCACCGGAGATAATATTTTCACGGCGAGAGCGATCGCGGTAGAGTGCGGGATCTTAACACCCGAAGACGAATCGAACGAAGACGCTGTTTTAGAAGGAGAAGCGTTTCGAACCTACACACAGGAGCAACGGTTAGAGAAAGTCGAGAGGATCAGAGTGATGGCGAGATCGTCACCGTTCGATAAGCTCCTGATGGTGAAATGCCTCAAGGAGTTAGGTCACGTGGTGGCGGTTACGGGAGACGGAACGAACGACGCGCCGGCGTTGAAAGAAGCGGATATCGGACTCTCGATGGGGATCCAAGGGACGGAGGTCGCGAAGGAGAGCTCCGATATCGTGATCCTCGACGATAACTTCGCCTCCGTCGCGACGGTTTTGAAATGGGGGAGATGCGTTTACAATAATATTCAGAAGTTTATTCAGTTTCAGTTAACCGTTAACGTAGCGGCGTTAGTGATTAATTTCGTCGCGGCGGTTTCGGCTGGTGAAGTTCCGTTAACGGCCGTTCAGTTACTTTGGGTGAATCTGATTATGGACACGCTTGGTGCGTTGGCGTTAGCTACGGAGAAACCAACGAACGATTTGATGAAGAATAGACCGGTCGGTCGAACCGCTCCGTTGATTACGAACGTCATGTGGAGGAATCTGTTGGCGCAAGCGTTTTATCAGATCAGTGTGTTGTTGGTGCTTCAGTTTCGTGGGAGGGAGATTTTTGGTGTGACGGAGAGGGTGAAGAACACTTTGATTTTTAATACGTTTGTGTTGTGTCAAGTGTTTAATGAGTTTAACGCGAGGAGTCTTGAGAAGAAGAATGTGTTTAGAGGGTTGCATAAGAACCGGCTCTTCGTTGGGATTATTGTGGTGACTGTGGTTCTGCAGGTTGTGATGGTTGAGTTTCTCAAGAGGTTTGCTGATACTGAGAGGCTGAATTGGGGTCAGTGGGGAGTCTGTGTGGCGATCGCGGCGGTGTCGTGGCCGATTGGGTGGTTGGTGAAGTCTGTTCCGGTGCCGGAGAAGCACTTCTTTAGCTACCTGAAATGGAAGAAGAGTGCATGAGAAGCTCTGAAAGTTGATTTGTAAATGGTTTCTTTTTAAGTATTTGTTTTTTTCCTTCTAATTATTTGATTTGAATAAACATTGTACAGGTTTTATTTATTTATATATATAACGTATTCAGATTACAAATCTTTTTTTCTAGAACGGGCCAAGATTGGCTCCTTCAAGGCTGGCTAAAGCAATGAACTCTTTCTCTGCCTCTTTCCACTGAATATCAAGCACAACGAAACGAACCGTGGCACCGATCTGAATCCGTGACATGTTCTGGTTCATGAACAACGGGTTTCCTTCTACAACGTAGTCGTAACCAGGCATCTTGTACTGTGATAAGTAAACGTTTTCGCAAGGACCACATCTCAAGAAGACACCGGACTTGTGCACCTTGTGAACTACACCATGAACAATCTCACCTTTGAACATCTTGAAGGTGATTCCGCTGAAAACAACCGGGAAGACAATCTCGCCAGTGGTTTCCCTGATTCTTCCCTCACCGATTTCCTCCAGGTTTTTGAGTGCTATGAAGTAGCCGAGATCTTTGGTGGCTTTCTTGGAAGCAAAGGCATCTAGTAAGCGAATGAGAACAGCTCTTTGGATCATGAGGCCGTTGGGGTCCATTGCTTCAGCTGGTATCATGACATTCCATGGCAGTTTGACTTTGATGAACATTGTTTTCCAAGTCTGTAAATGTGAAACATTCAAATACAACAAATCACAAAAAGTTGTTGCAATACTCTTGAGCAATTATAAGGGTGAATTAACATCTCAAAGTTCTTTTTTATTTTTAATAAATCTGAGTTAGATGTAGTAAATAGTAATAACATTCTGATGAAAGATTATGCATTCTTCAGGTTTTCTGTCAGACATTTCAACGAACAGTTTGCATTCATGTAAACATGCAAGCAAAAATCGACAAAATTCTGCACAATCAAGTCATATAAACAAAAAAAAATCACAACTTTCCGCATTTAACAATTTTTTTTAACTATAAGCTTAATCTTGTATCCTGAAACGTATTCACAAACCCTGGAACGAGTCTATCTGTGAAAATACATTTAAAAATCAAAAGATTTAAGAAGTTATACCTTGACTTTCCCCGAAAAACAAGATCAGAAGCTACAACAGAGCGATCAGGCAAGAAGACAGAGCTCTTCGCTTTCGAGAGTCTCAATGGACGGTCGCAGAAGAAAGCCTTTATCGAAATGACGCAAGACCTTTTTTTGCCCAAAATAATAGGCCTGTCATCGCTCATTAGTTAAATGGGTCAATATAATTGGCCTTACTAGGCCTATAATACAAGAATGGAAGTCGCGTCGCGTGCATCTATATGAAAAGTTGCATTTTCTTTTTGAACACCAAATGAAAAGTTTCACAGGAAATTAGAAACTGTTGTATACTTGTATTCATATAAACAAAAAAAAAAACGATTCATATGATATACAGATTTATCAAAAAAGTATTACAACTTTCATAGGAAAAATGTCTTTTATGTATTTATTTTGGAGAAAACGGTCCAGCCAGGTTTATATAATTAGGCTTCTCCTCCTTCTTTGTTCTTTGCCAATGTCCGCATCTGAAAAGCACAACGAGATTGATTTTATCAGTAAACCATGAAGAATGTAACGTCTTTGGAAACTAGTAAAATTACCTTAGTAGTGCCCGAGATAAACAAGAAATCTTGAGGCCTAGAAGGATCAAAGAAAGCCATCTTGCCTTGTGTCTTGTCATATGCAGCAACCTATGTGGGTTAGAACAAAACATTGATCAGGCCTCAGCATTGCCATAACCACACAAAAAGTATGAATCTTTTAAAATTGGGTTTTCATGTACCCTGAAAGGAAGGATGTCGAGTCTTTCAAGTCAAGGCGGCATGCTAAGAGCACCCACCTCAAATATTATAGAGTGAGTTCACACACTTTTCAAGAAAAGAAAATAATAAAATAATAAAAAAACAGGTGAACTCGAGTCGTAAAGGTTCTGTGGCGTGAACCGATTCACTGCTTTTAACGTGGGCCCCACGCCACGTGGCGGCCCACGATTGACCCACTAATTTTTTTTTAAAAAAAATAAACAGAAAAAAGTAAAAAAAAATAAGAAAAAATAACTTTTGTGAACCCCATCACCGGTTTATAAATGTGGATGCTCTAAGGGCACCTGCAACGGTGACCCTTAACTACTCCTTAGCGCGTTATCTTAGGTAGATGTTAATATAATAATACTAATTAGCTAACATAATCGAAGGATTGCCCCTTCGGTAAGAATTTATTTGGGGTAATCCTTGTGTACGTGTCACGAGATGAGTGGAGAGGCGTTTGCCTTAGGGAAAAAAAGAAATTCATTTTTGAGCAAATCAGAAAAAAATCGAGTCGAGAGAGAAAGGGCAATTGGAAAGGCGATTTCTCACCGAAAACTTAAATCAAGGTAAATCAAGGCGTTTGTAGGAAGAGTTTGGGAAGGATTTTCGATCTAACTGGTTTCAATCAACGCTTATTGGCTTTTGATTTGAACATACTTTGTTTTTGAAACTCTGTTTCTGTTTACAAATTGATTCTTTTTCTAAATTGGTTGTGTATCTTTTGTTCTTATTGATCAGTGTGGATTATGTGTATAACTATTAGTGCTTTCGTTGGTTTGATGATGATTATTAACTTTGTTCTTTACGTCATATATTTCAGGTTTACGATAATGGGTCAAGACTACAGCTATAGTCAGCCTTCATCATCATCAGAATCGCTAGTCATAACATCCATTCTTGAAGCCGAAGCTCAGATTTACGCGGATGAAGCCACAAGTAGCTACAATGCACAACCGGTTGAGTACAAACTTGTACTAGAGGCTGATGAAGGCATATCTAGGACATGTTACTGTGGTGGTGATCCTATTCTCTGATGCTCCTACACTGCCAAAGATCAATATCGTAGGTATTTTACATGCCACAATGTTGATGATGGCGACTGCCACGTATGGAAATGGTTTGATGTGGCAGTCATTGAGGAGATGAGGGACTTTCAGAGAAAGCTAATGAAGCTTAAAGATCAAGGTAAATACAATGAGCAGAAGCTCCTTAATCTTGAGAAGACGGTATACGAGCTCTCAAAGAAGAAATCAAGTGCTAAGCAAATGGTTTGCCTATTAGTTGTAATTGGTTTGGCGTTGTTGCTTCTGCGTGGGTAGTTTCTGTCCTTTTCTCATTGTAGTTATGTATTTTTGTAAAATCATTTGTCTCATTGTTGTCATGTTTTTCAGGAATAGTTGCAAAAGCTTCAAAGGAGAGTGTACCTTCGGAGTTTCTGCAATGAAGGTACGAAATTTTTTAAGCTATTATTACTTTCTGTTTTTGAATTTTAATTAATTCTTACTCTTTCTTATTTTGAATTTTAAAACCACTTTAGTACTTCCTATCTGCTCTGATTTGATGTGAGTGTTGTTTGGTTTAGCTTTTAGACCTTTCTCGTTTAAAATACAGAAGTGTTTAGGTTGAATTTAAAAACTACTTTACAAAAACATTCCGTGTACAAAACTTCTCATTTAATGATAGGTAGCTTCAAAAAAATTTTTGGTTTCTATCTTCTTATCTGCCCTGACTTGATTGGCAGTAATTAGTTTAGTATAGAGTTAAATGATAGTTGTTTGCTTTCTACCCTCCCAACTCCTCCGATTTGATTTGCTTTTAATACTTAAAACTTTCTCTACTTAAGGCTATGTGTCACTAGTCGGCACAGAGCATCCTCTAACCATGGCTAACACGTCTGGCTATGTAAACCTTTTAAATAGTCAAATTCCAATAGACCTTGATTCTGTCGAACATATTTGGTTCGACAACCAAGTTCCTGATGAGTCCGGTGACAAGCTGAGGAGGAAATGGTCGCCCAAAGAGGATAAAATCCTTATTGGTGCTTGGCTAAGCACCAGTAAGGACCCTGTCATCAGTAACAAGCAGAAAGCTGATGCTTTCTGGAACCGGATTCTTGACTACTACAATGCAAGTCTTCATCTCGTTGGCACCGAACCGAGGAAGATTCGTCCTTGCAAGCAGAGATGGGCTAGGATAAATGAGCAAGTATCCAAGTTTGCTGGATGTTATGATGCGGCCCTGAGGGATCACAAGAGTGGAACAAGTGATGATGATCTCATGCAGAATGCGTTAGACTTATTCTTCAAGAAAAACAAGTACAAGTTCTCCCTTGATCACTGATGGAGAGTTGAGACACGACCAGAAATGGTGTGCCACCTATCAAGCTAAAGACAGTGGAAAGGAGAAACGAAAGGAGGCTGATAGCGAAGAAGGGGAAATGAGAGAACCAGAGAGTCGACCTATCGGGGTTAAGGCCGCGAAGGGTCAAAGTAAGAAGAAGAAGAGTGTTAGAGAGCAAGAGTTGACATAGCTACAGACTGTTTTAGAAACTAAAGAAAAACTCTCAAGGCATAAAATCCTTGAGCGTTTACTCGCGAAAACATCTCCACTTTGTGAGATGGAAAACAGTCTTAAACTGAAACTCATGTCTGAACTTCTGTGAGGTATTAATATAGTTTGTGGTGCTAGTCTTGTTTAGAGAACTTAATCTTGTTTTGTGGTGCTAGTCTTGTTTTGCGGTATTAATATAGTTTGTGATCAGGGTTTGATGTTTGATGTGTCAGGGTGCGCAGAAGGCATGTGAAGAAGGTCACGTGAGTGCATTTGGAGGTGTTAAAGTCTTTTGGTCATGTGAACGAAGTCACGGGTGTTTCTGTTTCATTTCATGTATTATAAGTAGTTGGCATGGTTCTCTTTAGCTATGTATCTCGTTTATCAAACTTCTCTCTTTTTTATTCCTTTAGCCTCATTGTTCTTGTGTTTCTCGGAGAGGCTGGAATCTTTAGGAATGTATCTGATGACTTGATGAAATATTTTGGTACAAAAACAACAAGAACTTGCTTCTCTTACAATCATTTTTTCTTTGTTTCACAAACTTGACCTTTCACAAACTCCTTCTTTCTACTTTCTTTCATTGGTGTACACAAGCAACGAAAGACTGTTGGGGCACAAGAACTCCTTCTTTCTACTTTCATTCCGTGGTTTACACAAGCAGCTACAACCGTTGGGGAACTTTAACTCCTTCTTTCTCTTGTAGGTAACACTGATGAATCTTCTCTAAATCATGTTCAACTCGTGGTATGTACAATAGAACTTGATAAAGAATTTATTAAAGAATCTTGACAGTAGGAAGGATGTTTATGTTGAATAGAAAATAGAACTTGATAAAGAATGAATCTTGGCAATTGGTAGAAATGAAACTTAAAATTTGAAAAGATAGTAAAACTATTAAAAAATATTAGAACTTAATATGATAGAACCATATTAAAAAATAAAGAAATGACAATTAGTATAAAGGAAACTTAATATGATCATATTAAAAAATAAAGAAATGACAATTAGTATAAATGATACTTAATATGATAGAACCATATTAAAAAATAAAGAAATGACAATTAGTATAAATGAAACTTAAAATGATAGAACCATATTAAAAATAAAGAAATGACAAGTAGTATAAATGAAACTTAAAATCATTTGTATAAATAAACTTAAGATAATTGAAAAATAGAATTTTTTAATTACTTATGATGAATCTTCAAAATATAATAAAAATTAGATTTGAACAGAAACAATTAATTGGAACTATTTTAATTGGTTTCAAGGAGGGATACCTAAAGATGTCATCATCCTCATCTGATGGCGTCGATGAAAAACTGGATGAAATTTTCGACGAAATTGTCGAAGATACGTACAATGACATAGTGGAGTATCAAACAAATAAGCAAAGGAGACGTGCTTATATAGAACGACACCGTGAAGCAGGACACGACCGTTTATGGAATGACTACTTCAGCGAACATTCAACATTCTCTCCACATTTATTCAGATGCCGTTCCCGCATGAATAAAGAATTATTCTTGCGTATTGTCTATGGCCTCTCGGAGAACGTTCGATTCTTTAGACAAAGAAGAGATGCAACCGGAAGATTTGGTCTTTCTCCACTACAGAAATGTACATCAGCAATTCGTCTGCTTGCTTATGGTTCTGCGGCTGACACGGTAGACGAATATCTCCGACTTGGTGAAAGCACGGCACTTTCGTGTTTACACTATTTCACTGACGGAATAATACAGTTATTCGCAGATGAGTATCTACGCAAACCGACACCAGAGGATCTTCAGCGACTGCTCGATATTGGAGAGAAACACAGGTTTCCTGGGATGATAGGAAGCATCGACTGTATGCATTGGGAGTGGAAGAATTGCCCAACCGCATGGAAAGGACAATACGCACGTGGATCGGGAAAACCGAAAATTGTCTTGGAGGCTGTGGCTTCACAAGATCTTTGGATATGGCACGCTTTTTTTGGTCCTCCGGGAACCTTAAACGATGTTAATGTCCTCGATCGGTCTCCTGTTTTTGATGACATTATCCAAGGCCGAGCTCCCAGGATAGAGTATGTGGTCAACGGACACATGTATAAGTTGGCGTACTATCTCACAGACGGTATTAATCCCAAATGGTCAATCTTTATCCAATCTATCTCCCATCCTCAAGGTCCTAAAGAAGAGTTATTTGCTAAAGTTCAGGAATCAACCCGAAAAGATGTCGAGCGGGCTTTTGGAGTATTGCAAACTCGCTTTGCGGTTGTGAAAAATCCGGCTCTCTCATTGGACAAGGAAAAGATAGGGAAGATTATGAGAGCATGTATCATACTGCACAATATGATCGTCGGAAATGAACGAGATGGGTACACTCAGTACGATATATCTGAATTCGAAGAAGGAGACACAACGAGAAGTTCACGAGTTCATACCGACATGCCTACAAATATCCATAATATGCTCGGCACTCGGAATGATGTTCATGATAAGCGTTTACATCAACGACTAAAAAATGATTTGATTGAAAATATTTGGAACAAATTTGGTGATTGCTAATCATATTGTATCTTTATATTTTTATCGTGTAATAGTTTATCATGTAATATTTTGTCATGTAATATTAATAATCTTGAATCTTTATAATCATGTTGAATATTAATAATATGATATGTTTCTTTTAATTGTTGTTATCAATTAAAAAAATTTATAACATTTTTTAAAATAAAAATATTTTAATATTTTTTTATTACTAAGGATTCTAAAAGAGAGGCTAACGATTGGACACACCATTTGGTAAATGATCCTTAACTATTTAAACAAAAAAAAGATTAATATTAAAAGGCTAAGGATTCCATGGTGAGACTCACCATTGCGTGTGCTCTAAGTACTTTCTTCCCATGATCAGCATCGTAAAGATCACGTTTCTCTACAGGAGGATCCATCCCAGCTGGATCACGACACACAATATGTAAAAATTAGCACCAGCATTGATTCTACCCTTTGCATGCTACTGCACTTCCGTTGGGCAAGCGTAGTGCATAAGAGACGGTATATCGAAACCACTGTATTATCCGGATCAAGCACACCGTCCTCTAGCACCTTCAACACTCGCCAATGTTCTTTAGGTTTTGTTATTTACGAAACTGCTATTGTTTTGTTTTAATTAAGCTTTTGCTCAAGTCTGGCCTCCTACACAATTATTAATCCTTAAGAAGTCCTTAAGTTTTTTTTTTTTTGTAAAATCTCGTTTATAAAAGAAAAGTGAAATAAGAATGAAAATAAAAATCTTAGTCTAGCCTGCTAAACAATCCTTTTTTTTAACATTTAAGCAAAAAAAAAAATAAGGATAAGAATAAAAATAAAAACCAATAAGTTTCTACTATTTAAGTATACGTGATAAGAAAATTCTCTGACTCTAAGAATAAATAATCTTGACAGACTTATCGGGACGAGCCAATGCATCTTTCAACTCTTCAAGACTAGAAATCTCCTTAACATCACCTCCAGATTCCATGTTTAGAACTACTTCGCTGCGAGATTGCTTCAGTGCAACTTGAGTTTGAGACAAATATTTAGCAATGACTTTATCGTATGGCATTGCCTCATGTACGATCTCATAATCTCTCACTGCTTCAGCCCATTTTTTCAGCTATAGTTTCACATGAAAAATGCTTCAGAACAAGTGGAACAAAAAAAAAAAGCAAATTAGTCACACAAACTTTATTTTACCTTGCTGGATGACAGAGCCCTTTGAATCAATTCAATATTTTTCTTGAGAATTTTAATTTCAATGTTATGTGGCTCAATCTCTAAAGCTTTAGCTGCATCTTCAGCTGCATCTTTGTACCTGTAAGAAGTCGTTATATGAGCATTTTTACTATTGTTATCCAACATAACAATAAACAAGTAAACCAATCAATAGGTCTAATAATGAATCTCACCTTTCTAGAGCCAAATTTATTTGTGATTTGACAAAAAATATGTAGGCTTCACATATCATATCGAAAAACCGAGTCTGTGGCAGTGAGAAAGAGGTTGCTATTGGTTCTAATTTGGGGACAGCTGCTACTAGTGCTGCATGAGCCTCACCAATCCGGCTGAGTTTTACTAGTGCTTCTACTCTACACATAGCTAGCTGCAGTTTTGAGATAATTAAAACAGTATGTCGTTTAATTCTCATCCTCGTATTAAAAAAAAAAAACATTCTCATCCTTGTAAGGGCGTCTGCACATTGGGAGGCTCTCAACAAGAATTTCTCACTTAAAAGATAATTTCTTTTTGTGAGAGAAATTCGTTAAGAAAAATTAACGTAAAAGGGGTTTAATTTGTTATTTACCTCAGGAGATGCAAAATTCTCAGTTGAACACATAGCTGCAGTTGCTTCCCTCCTAGTAATAGTCCATTCACTGCGTCTTCTTGCATTAATACATGCGTTGAAGTGTGCCTCTACATTTTTAACTCTCATTATGGCGTATTTATCATATGATGCTTCCTCCACAAGCTTCACCGCTTCATTGACGTGACCTAAACTGCAACCAAATCAAAGACTCAAAATGACTAGATATTAAATATATTTCAATAAAAAGAAAGTAGAAACAAATCAGTTTACCTAAGAAGAGACATGCCTAAACCGTGACGAGCCTGTGCAGATTTTGGATCCAGCTTTATGGCCTCTTCCCACTGGCTCAGAGCTTCCCCAATACGCAGCAATTTCGACAATGCAGCTGCTCGATTGATGAGATAAGTCACATTCTTCGGTGAGAGCTCTATTGCTTGATCATAGAACTCCAAAGCCTCACTGTAACGACGTCTGTTGAACATCTTTTCCCCACGAGAGTTGAGTTTTTGTGGATTTGGAATAGGAGAAGACGTTGGCTTAGAAGGAGAGAAGATCCTACGTAACCAACCAAAGTGGCTGCGATGGGCACAGCTATTTTTTGGACCAGAAAGGAGTTTTTGTTCAAGATCATGATGCTTATTATCTTCCGTACTCAAAGTATTATTGGGAATATTGTCAATCTCGGGTACGAGATCATTCGGCTTCAACATCACCTCTCTGCAAGATTACAAAAAGAAAGAAAGCCGATAATGATCTCATGAATCCAAAACTTTTCCTTGAGATAAGAAAATTTAATTGTTACATTATAAAGTCTAGAGAGAAAGAGTCTAATATTATAAGTAGTTATGACAATGAAAAACATGTCGAGACTAGTTTGTTGGTGTGCATGTTATACCGAAAGTTGCAACAAATCTCAGATAAAAATTACTTACTTCATTGTAGATTCTCCCCTTCGCGAATAAGAAACAGAATATGGGAACTTTCCCTAGAATACACAAGACCGTTCGATCTGTTCTGTTGTTAGGGTGTATTCCACATATTTATAACTCATAAGGTTAGGGTTTTATAACTCATAAAATTTAGGTCAAGGTTTTTCTTAACCTAAGTTGATGACATAATGTAACGAAGCCCAAGTATTAAAGAGAAAGTTGAGGCCCAAATGTGGTAGGCTGATAACTCTTATTATAAATTATGTAATAACCGGATTATTCGTTCAAAACTGGATTTTATTCTTCGGTTCTAGATGTTAAATTAATGAAAAAATCATAAAAAATACACAATATGCTACGGTTTTCGTATTTAAAAAAAAATCGTTTAACCGGAGAAAAACAGTGGACCAAGGACTGGTAAGAGGGTCTACTATGTACCAAGTGGCTTCACGTAGAGGAAGTCGAGGCCAATGAGGACGCAGAGGGATAAACTGGATGTTCTGTTTCTCACTTCAACATCCATGTGAGAGAAGAGTCAGTAGGCTAATGATCTAAAAGTTGCTTAGCTAGAGAAGATTACAAAGCTCCATCCACAAACTATCGATATTAAGTATATTAACCTAAAGAAACTGCTTAAGAGTTTTTTCCAAAGTAACATAAATTATTAGGTTACATAATCACACATTTTGTAAAAAACTGCATTTAATGATTTATACATATGTCAGATAATTGGCTTTTTCCTGCAGAAGGAAAAGTAACGGTTGGAGAAAATTGAATGTGATACGGAATAGATTGATACATTTTGGTGTAAATATATCTTCAAATGTAATTATTTACACAAGTACGAAATTAATTGTAACTGACGAACTACAACCATTAAAGGAAAGTCTGAAAGAGACGAAAGCAACTTGGAATCTCAATTATAAATTTGACAAAAAGAAAATGTACACTCGGTGGGGCTTTCCCATACAAATACAAAAGGCCAAAGTTTCAAAACCCATCAACTGAATCATATCATCCCTAAAATAGACGTACCTATATTTGATGACGATGGATGATGATATGAATTGATGATCTTATGATTCTTTTGTACTTACTATACTCAAGATGTTTAGTAAGGCATGAGGCCTAAAAAATGTTTGGATCATTAAATACATAGCATATAATTTGCGTATATAGCTTCGATTTACAACTGAAATGTTGCGTTTCTAAACTTGAAACAATTATATTAGCTGATTTTATTGGTATGTTTTATACATGGAAGGGGACCATCTGCCACCCATTTCCAGCAATGAAACAGTAAAATTGACATACGTTTCTTTAGTGTATAATTTATTGTTCATTGTTATCTTAAAAGTTTAATTTGAACCACTCTTTAATTTCTCTCATTACTCACCATGTTTAAAATGAAATTTTCTAAACACAAATCCTGGATACATGAAGGCATTCAAGATCCGTAAAAACATATCCATTTTTTAAGCAAAAGCTAAAAGACTTGAAGCCTAACTTACTTTTGTTCGCAGTATAAACCGCTTTAAAGTCAATATTTATCAGTCATTTCTTGTTTCTTTATATTTTCTTTGCATATTTCTGGTTGTTCTGAAACAATTAGGATCCAAACGTCGATTAAGCTCCATGAAGCGACTAACTCCATAAATCTCTAGGGTATATACATTCCCGAAGAGTTATGTCTATAAATTGTGTGAAACTTGAGTTTCAACTTCCCAGAAACCCTAAGCTATTATAATAAAATTAATGACCAGAAAATCTTTTCTTGGAACAGTAGAAGTGATAAGACGTTGGAAGTCGAATCCCAAATAAGTAAATCCAGATTTTCATATCAGTTTGCTGTGACTTGGACGAATTTTTGTTTTCATTAGTCATGCAGCTCTACTCTATGGCCCTAAAAATATAATAAAATCTCGGATCCTTTGAACAAACACACAAAAGTAGAAAAAAATAAAAATAAAAATCAGATGAACAGACATATATATATATAATAGCCACACAAAGAGAACTAATCTGAAAAATAAGAAAAAAAAAGAGTTAACACACGTCTTTTTAAAATCAAACACCAAAAAGTAGAAACCCTATACTGTGAAATTTGAGATGGAATCAAAGATGGAAAGTTAGGGCTTCAGGGTGCCACAGTCAACAGGTGAAACTGCGAACATGATCTAATCGACACTCATCTCTTTTCCATCGTCATAAAAACAAACGGAGAAAGAAAGTTAATTAGATCATGCTGGCAGCTTCATCAGATGCCTGTGCACCGTTCTCTTCACCGTATTAGATCAAGAAAAAAGAGAGAAATTAAAGGCACAAAATAAAAAGATTTGTTCTTTTTTTTTTTTTTTGGGTAAGAGCTAGGGTTTTCTCGTGTAGTTGCTCTTATCAATGAAGAAGAAGACGATTTATATAGAGGAGAGGGGAGAACGTGAAGGAGGGTTGGGGTGGGCTATACAAGATGGAATATGTTTTAGAGGGGTCAGTTTTACAATTAAATAAAAGTATGTGGGTCGAGAGTGAAAATGAGTGACAAACAAAAGGCGTTAAAGAGAAGTGGTCCAAAGTAGAACCGTGAATAAAATTGAATAATATCACGCCGATTCTCCGAGCCTCATGCACTTCTTCTCTCTTACATAGACAGATTAGCTTTGTGTGTTGTATTTACTTGCTTCTTCTGTAACTCTATTAATTACTTCTACATATTTTGATGGGGACCCCTTTTGCTCTGTCTTTATTTTATTTTTAGCCGTTAATTCCAGTAAGTTATACTACTATTCTAATGAGATATTGTAAAAGACAAAAGTAAGTGTTCTAATCAGTACGTTTTATTATTCAATGAGATTCATTTTTTACAAACTCTTGTTCATTTGATGTTCCGAGAAATTTCTACCACTTAGAGGTTGAAATTTTATGTCGATCCGTTCGTACCTTCCAATTTAATTAGTTTGAAGACAATATAGGTTCTAATGCATTAAGCATCTCGTAATAATATGTTCAGAACTGCCGAGTATATTTTTAATGGCCGGAGAGATAGATAAAATTTCTTCTTGGCTTATTCGATTGATTATAAACTTCATTTTACTCATTATGAGGTTTATATAGTTTTCAAAATATTCCAACGCGGGGACACCCATCGTTATGATTAATCTTCAATATAATTAAGAAATAGTTACTTTAATTAAGACATAAGCCATGAAAAAGTGAAGCTAACACACATGCATAAAGTATAGCCTACGGAAACTCTTAGACTACTATATAATATGTGAAGCAAGAGTATTTTTTTTTTTGGCGTCTATCAGCTTGTGGTGCATGGTTGTTGCTACTTTATACCTCTCTCACTTTCATGTAAACTTTGTGTAATGCCATTGTTACTGTACTTATAAATTTTGGAGCAAGAACTCACAATTGTTTTTCTAAAAAGAAATCATAAATACCACTTCTTATGTTTTTTTCAAATATCATGAAATTATTTCCAAAGAAAGTATAATGGAAGTAGTGACAAGTATTTTACAAGTGATTTAAAGCTGTGTTTGAAAAGTAATAAACTTGCTTTTATACGTGATAAGTTAAGAGGGTGTTTATAAGGTATAGTATTTCTTAGAAGAACAAATTACGATGGTATTTGAATGTAATTATTACCAATACATGTGAGACCTAATTTGAGCTCATATATAATATTCTCATGATTTATCTTAAGTGCACTTAGGCCATAATTGACCCCAGTGTCTTAATTGAGATTATTAATTTCGGTTAAGATACATTTCTTAATTTTTAACAAAGAAAAACTAATAATCATCTTTCAAATAAGAGATATAAAAAAACGTTTCTTAATTGAAAAGTGCAAAAAATAAAGTGGCAATTCATGAATTAAAATTTTCAAATAAGAGATCGGGGTTAATGATGCCCTTATATATTAGTAGACATACTTATGGACTTAGGTGCTAGTTTTTGTCATGAAAATACTTAAGTTAATGAAACGTAAACAATAATAACACAGGCGCTCTATACAACAACAACAACAATTGGCTCTTGTAACCTACTACTATGCCAACACCCCAGGTATTGAAATTAATAGCTATTAGATGTTACAGCAACTTGTTTTTTTTTTTTTTTTTTTAGCAACTTGTTTTTTTCTTTTACATATAGATGTAATAAGTAAAGGATGTGAACTGATGTTATTAATTATTTATTGCCGTAAAAGTATAGAAAGTGAATTGAATAATAGAACAACTTTCCTAAAAAAGATTCCTTATCACTAACAATGAAATGATACCATTTCTATGCAAAAATTACCCAAAAATCGATAGGTTCTGGACAAGCTGTTTGCTCTGTGAAAGCTACGCGATATTGCAAGATATTGAAAATTATTGATATGGACAATCTTTGATTACGACTCGTTGCTATTTGGTAGAGAGATAATAAGGCAAATTTTCTGATTGGTTTAGAAGTTTTCTTTTATATTGTTCCTTTTTAAGGTTTTTCTTTAGTTTGGTACCAATAAGTCAACACTACTAATTGCAAAATAAAAGGATAAATAAATGTACGCGTATCAGTTTTGCTCCAGCTGAAGTAAAATTTCCAGTTTAGTTGTGTCACGCTCAGCAAGAAAACTAAAACATTTGATATATGTTTATAAACTTAAAAGAGTGTTAGTTATCGATTTCCAACCAACCACCTAATTATCAATATATCTAGAATATGACGTTTTGTTATATACAATATAAAGAATTTCTCGTCTCGTTCTAATTATAAATTTAACAAAAACCAGTACA